GCGAGCGGCTGGCAGCGCATGCGCAACAAGCTTGTTTACAGCTTAGCTCTGACGATGCGGGCGCAGTCCGGCGCCATCTTGTAATGGCGTCCACAGCCCACAGAATGTGAAAACTATAGAACAATGCCATTAATAGATGCAAGTAGCATTTTGCTGAAGAACACCCAACCATGGTTGCAGCAGTACATTGACAGGAAACTGCCAAAGGCTCTGGATGGATTCAGAGGACGTGGTATTGTTCATGTCAGATGGATCTTGGCTTAAAGCAGAGAGTGCCAGAAAGATGTTTACTTGTGTTTTATTGACTATGCAAAAGCATTTGACTGGGTGGATCGTAATAAGCTATGAATAGTCTTGAGAAGAATGAGAATTCCAGAACACTACATTGTGCTCATGTGGAGCCTGTGCATGAATCAAGAGGCTGTTGTGCAAACAGAACAAGGGAATACTGCATGGTTTAAAATCAGGGTAAGTGTGTGTCAGGGTGGTATTCAATCTGTATGCTGAGCAAATCATGAGAGAAACTGGATTATAGGAAGAAGAATGTGACCTCAGGATTGAAAGAATGCTTATTACCAACCTGTCACATGCAGATAACCCAACCTCACTTGCTGAATGTGGAGAGGTCTTGAAGCACTTGCTAATGAAGATCAAGGATTGCAGCCTTCAGGGTGGATTACAATTCAATGTAAAGAAGACAAAAATCCTCATAACTGGACCAATAGGTAGCATCATGTGAAATGGAGAAATGATTAAAGTCGCCAAGGATTTCGTCTTGCTTGGATCCACAATGAATGCCCATGAGAGCCACAGTTAAGAGATCAGACGATGCATTGATTGGGTAAATCTGCTCTGTAAGGCGTCTTTAAAGTGTTGAAAGGCAAGGACATTACTTTGAGGACTGAGGTGCCCCTGACCCAAGCCGTGGTATTTTCAAACACCTCATACACACTGGACATCAAATAAGGAGGTCGGAGGATGAATCGATGTGTTTTGACTTAGGATGCTGGTGAAGCAGACTGACGGTGGCACGGACTGTCAAGAGAACAAAGACACCTGTCTCGGAAGCAGTGCTGTCACAGTGCGCCTTAGAAGCAAGGACGCTGAGCCTTCACCTCTGATGCTTTGGACTTGTCGGAAGGGACCAGTCCCTGGAAAAGGACATCATAATTGGTTAACTGGAGGGGCAGCGGAAAAGAGGAAGACCCTCCACAAGACGGACTGACTGAAACAAGGGGCTCGAACAAGGACAGTTGTGAGGCTGGCACAGGGCCGAGTGGTAGTTCTCTCTGTTCTACAGAGGGTCGCCATGGCCCCTAACAGCAGCCACAGCAAAGAAGGTGGAAGAAGCGGGGCTGTAAGCTTGGCCCTAGACTGGAGGTGGATTTTGGCGGTGGGCTTATTTCTCTGACACGGGCCCTTGGGACCTTTGGGTGATACAGCAAATCAGCCTCAGGCCAGCGACTACCTGCCAGCTGGGCACAGGCTTGGGCTTTTCCACCCCCTGCGGGAGAGCGGCTCAAGTTGCCAGGCTTGAAGCACACCAGGATGAGTTTTCCAACCTCATCTCCAGAGCCCCCAAGCCCCAGGGGCTTCATCGCTTGCACAGAACCCCAGCCTCCATTTTCCCATTTCGCCAAACACCAGTATTCTTGGTCTCGAGACCCTCCCCAAGTCCCATCACAGAATTAGCGTCCCTTTTCTTGGAAGGCGCTTTGGAGAGCTGCATCCTTCCCTTCCAAGGCAGGGCATGAGGGGGCTTAGGAAACACCAGACGTGCCTCCTGCCACTGGCAGACTCCACCTCGGTGGGACACCTGCTTTAGAGGGGTCTCTGTGGGAGCACTGGCTTAGTGGCTGTAGTGGAAATACCACAAATGGGTGGTCTTAGAGAACGAAGCTTTGTTTTCTCACACGTCAAGAGGCTAGAAATGTGAATTCAGGGCAGCAGCTATGGGGCAGGCTCTCTCTCCGTGTCCTCTCTGGAGCTTCTCCAGCTGGGCGTTGCTCACTTTCTGGTCTAACCTCACACATGCGTGCTCCTCACTTCCCCAGTTTGAGCTTGATTCTCTGATATACTTTCTACCGCTATGGCCTCATTAGCATAACAGAGAAAATCCTATTCCCATACTCTGGTTTCTCTTCAGATTGCATAAATCTTTCGCCTTTTACTAAAATCCTATTCCCAGATGGGATTATATCCACGGGGGGTGGGGGTGGGGGGACACCATTCAATCTATAGCCAATCACCTGCACCCACGCCTGCGTCTCCTTCAAACAGTGGATGTTCCTTATGGAAAGGGCCCATAACTCAATGGACAGGTCCTGAACAGTATGCCCTAGGCTGGAAGGAGAGAGTGGTGAGCAGAATTGTCTCCTAAGAACTCCCTCCCTCAAATATCCCACTCCCCACACCACCTCCTCAGTTCATTCACTGTCACCTGAGTGAGTTCCAGTTCCACCCTCAATACCTCCTTCCCCTCCACCCCCGCAGATCTGATTTGGGAGAAGGACCGACACCTGCCCACCTACCAAACCCACTGCCATCACGTCGATTCTGACTCAAAGCAACCCTGCAGGACAGAACAGGAATGCCCTTGGAGTTCCCGAGACTTTAAATCTTTGAAGAAACAGAAAGCCTCATCTTTCCTCCACAGAACAGCTGGCAACTTCGAACTACAGACCTTGGGGCCAGCAGCTCAAAGTATAACCCACTTCGCTACGGGAGCTCCTTGACCGAGGAGCTTGGGCCTTAGCAAACCAGGTCTGGGCTCGAGGAAGTCAAGTGGATCCTTGGGCTAAGCAAAGAGCAAGAACTTAAGCTGAACGCTCTTGGGTGGAAGTAGGCAGAGGGGACATCAACCCAGAACAAGATTCCAGAGAGCCGTTCTGAGACATGGACATCTACAGACAAGGAACACTCAGGACAGAGACACCAAGCACAGGTGGCCGAGGACCAAGGATCCAAGATCTTGGCTCCAGACCCAGCCGAGTTGTCATCTCCATGGGTGGACCCCGAGGCCCAGAGCCACTGGCATCAGGAAGATGACCGAGCGAGAGATCACCAGCTGCACTCAGGACCAGAGCAGGACAACCTGAGGGTCTTTCCCAGCTCGTGGTGAGGAACGGCCTAGAGACCAGGACTGGATGGGTGGGTATTAATGAACGTATCCTCATGGCCTGGACTTCTTCCACGGTGGAGTCCCAGGTCCAGTGGAGTGGAAAGGAATCTCTGGCTTTTGATCTTCACGGTATCAGCAGTGCAAGGGTCGGCAGGGCGTGGGCTAGAGGGGAACAGATCTTCACAAAGCTGCACAGTGAGACCGTCTTGTAGATCCACTGTCCTCCTGACAGGGGGACCTGGGAAAGCACTTGGAGGAGAGGCTCACCAGAAGGAATGAGTAGGGAGCTGAGTGTGGCCAGAGCCAGGCCCAGCATGGACAGAAGGACCAGACACAGCTCACTGAATGTGACTTTATTGCCAGACGTCCCTCAAATAGCATGGCCCTGAAAGTATCCACCCTCTCTGGGGAGAGGAGAGTTAGCGAAAAGATGCCCGAAAGACACAAACACACACACACACACACACACACACACACACACACACACACACCCCTAAGGACGGCAGTCCCTGCCAAGCTGCTGAGGCCAGGCGTCCTCTTCCTCTTCAGTGGCTTTCTGTTGCCCTGAGGTTCTTTTCTTTGATACTTGGCATCGGAGCCCCACAGTCAGAGTGCCCAGGAGCAAGAGAAGGAGCAATACCTTGACCAGGACACAGAAGGAAGACGAGGCCTTCTCAGAGAGAGATCCAGGATCTGGGAGGGCAAAGAGAAGGAAAGAGAGAGTTCTCAAAGGGAAGGGTCAGGTGAAGATTGGGGGACAGGTGCCTATGCCCAACCCCATGGAGGGGCTCTCACATTCATGAGTTGGCGTCAGTCAATTGACGGCCATTGGCCAACGTCTCTGCCAATATGCATTCTTTGCACAGAATCTCAGTGCCTGAGGTCAGGGTAGCGATCTCAAGATGAGCAAGAGCAGAGACCGTTGGAGATTGGGGGGCAGAAGAAGGGAGGACCCTTCCCCAATCTGGGAGGCTTCTCTGGGGTGGGTTCCGGCTTTGATTCGCTCTCTTAGAGGCGTTGGGGAGGGAGACGGTGGCTCCTTCCCCCCAGAGAATGGCATTGAGGCATGTGTCTAGTCCCCTGTTACCTGCACAGAAAAGCCCAGCATGAAACAGACGGGAGCTGACATTGCTGGCGGGGTTGCTGGCCCTGCAGATGTAGGAGAGGGCACTGTCCCCAGGCCTCCAGGACATGTTGAGGACAGGGCCTTCTTGGACTATGTTAGTGCCACCTTCCCAGGAGTGCATCCAGCTGTAAGTCACATCCATGCCTGCATTTTCTACGGAACACGTCAGGGACATATGACAGAACTCGTGCCCTGAGATCTCTAAGTTCACAGTGACTCGGGGCTCCGACAGCCGACCTGCATGAGAGAGGAACACACAGGCACAAGAAAAATCCCCAATCAGGCATCGATTCTAAATGCCTCACCTCTGGAGTCCCGGTGCTCCTCCCTAAGAACCCTTTGGCCTACAATACATATGCCAAGACAAACAAAACACAGCCACCCCAAGACCAGGGTCCCCAGGGCAGCCACCAGAGTGGGTAGAGCTGCCTTTGGCAATCTCTCCCCTTTCTTCCCACCACTCTTTCTTTCACGGTTGTACCGCATCTTCCTCCAAATCCCATCCTGCCTCCAGAATCCTATCAAATAGTACCACCCTCCCCTAGGAGTATTTATATTGTAACCAGCATCTTTCCCAGATACAAGGTAGAACATCAGTCAGTGTGGCGGACACTGGGAAGAAATCTGTGCTCACACAGAGGGGAGATACTGCTTGTTGTTAGCCCTTGGGGTTGGCCCCGGGCTCGGGGCCACCTCATGAACAATGCGAGGACGGTTGTGATCCGTAAGGTTTTCATTGGCTGATTTTCAGAAGTAGATTGCCAGTCTTGTCTTCCTGCACTGGCTTAATCTGGAGACTCCACCCCTCGCTGTTCAGCATTATAGCAAGGAGATACTGACTAGTGCCCTCAAAGTCACAGTCATCTAGCAAATCCTGATGCACAGTGACCTTGTTAGACAGACTCGAACTGCCCCCTTGGGTCTCCAAGACTTTGAATAGCTACAAGAGTAGACAGCCTCATCTCTCTCAATGAGCGACTGGTGGCTTCAAACTGCTGACCTTTCAGTTAGCAGCTCAATGTGTAGCCCACTACAGCAACAGGGCTCCTTAACTAGTACCCTATTAGCCCTCAAATTCTACACAGGCAGGAAAGGCTCCAGAATTGAGGTTACGTTTATTGTCTGGAGGCAAAAACCACACTGGTGGAGAAACGAAATGATCAAAGACCTGGGAGGGCAAGTTCCTTCCCTGAGAGGACAGATCAGTAACCCGTGGGCGCCTGGAGGGTCAATGGATGGAATCTTGTCCCTCCCACAATTCGTTGCCAATTGTCATCTTGGTTGTTGCTCTAGCTCCGACACTGCTTTGGGAAGACTGGGGAGGGAAGAACAGACCCTTTCCTTATCCCAACTCCTCAAGCTGCAACCCGGAGTCATGAGAGTCCTCCTCCCCATGGCTTGGGAAGCTCACGAAAGACAGACAAAGCAGTGTTCTGGTTCCCAATGTCAACTCACGGTAGACGCGTAGCTTGTAACACTGTCGGGTCACATGGGGCGTCCTCAGGCTGACTTGGGCTTCATAAGGCCCCGCATCCTCCCAGCTCAAGTTGCTGATCTTCAGGGAGGAGCTGGGGTCCAGGGAACTCACTCGGCCCTGGTAGCGAGGGTTGACCACGGTGAGGGTAGCCGGCTTTCCCTGTCTCCCTGCCACCACAGGTGCAAGGGGTGTGCCAGAGGACCAGACAATGCTCTCAACCTCTTCATGGACTGGTGTTTCCAGGAGGAGACGGATGGACTCCTGAAGGACGGCCACCACTTCCTGGGGAGCCGCATCATCTCTGGCACACCCATCGTCAAAATCCCCATCTCCAGAGCCCCCGTCTCCAGACTCCCCTTTGACTGAAGACATGAAAACAAGAGAGATGGCCACCGCTCAGCAGGTGTCCGGGTTGCTGTGCCTGGCCAGAGGGCCTGTGGTTTCAAGGGAGGAGAAGGTGGTTCTATTGCTTCCTCTGGCCCTGTGCTGGTCTTTCTTGGCTTTAGCTTTCAGCTGTACTGAAATAAAGCCCCTACCGAAGGTCATCCTCCATCTGTGTTCTCACCTCCTAACATGGATCCTCTCCTTCAGCCAGCTGGGGCCCGCTCCCCTTTCATGGCCCCAGGCTCTCTCTGCTCTTGGCCCTGCCCTGAAGCTACATCCTACTCCTCGTCATCTAGAAGAGTAGATGCAGTTAACTCCAAAGGAGCACCTCGGCTGGAGCAGGGCTCCGAAGAACAGGAGGGGAGAAGGGCCAGGAGAAATATGCACGCAGGCCTAAGCAGTCTTACTCACCTTTCGGGAGCAGTAAGAGAAGGACCAGCCAAGGAAGGGCCCCCCTGTCAGCAGCCTGTGCCCAGGTGTGATTTGTCATCCCTAGTGCTGTCACTAAGAAGACAGCTCTCAGGAGGCTCCCCAGACTCCGAGTGACTAACAGTCCAGAGGAAGAGGAAATCATCCCCATGGGAGGCACCAGCCCTCTCACTTCCTCCATCCTCACTAAGCCCCTCCTCTATCATGAAGTGAGTCCTCTCTCTGGAGCCGGATTCCGTTTCCTAAAGAGTCTCATGGTTCAAACGCACTGGAGGCACCTTGGAAGAAAGGTGTGGCGATCCCAATTGACTTCTGAAATGAATCAACCATCGAAAACTCAACCGGGCATGGTTCTATTCTGATAGAGAGGGGGTCGCCATGCACCAGAATGGACTCAGCCATCATCACCGGGTTTATGTCACCCAGTTCCAAGCCGTTTCCTAAATGCCACCTTCCTAGATGCCCAACTCTGTGCACCTTCAGGCTCCCACCCCACCACCCACCCCCAACTCTTAGGACACTTCCCATATAGACTTGCCATGTGGCTCTCAGTGTACTTGACCTTCACTGTCTTTGACCCCCGTGACCATTCGATCCTACGAACATCTTCTCTCCCCAGAGAGGCCCCATCTTTGTCTCCTCTGTATGGCCCACTCTTGTTGGTCCCCATTGGACACACGTGAGAGCTCAATCGATATTTTCGGAATGCATGGATGAATGAAGACTTTCTATTTAAAGCTAGTTATGTTCTGACTTGGGAGACTATTCAGAGGAGGGAAAAATTTATGACTTTCTTTTTTTAAAAAGGCAGTTTGGGCCAGAGAGCTGATCTAGGCGGTTTCTGTCCCGGAAAGCTAGTCTGAAGACTCTGTTGAAACCTGATCAGCATCACAGCCACACACAAGCCTGACAACGATGTCAGGGCTGTGCATGAGGTGCACAGACGGGCTATTGAACCGGGAAGGCACGAGCGCTACCAGCACTGCCCCCAGTGGGCACCTCGTTTACTTGACTTCCTTCCTTTCCTGCCCCAGTCATATCTCTTGGTTTTACTTGGTCCACCCAAGCTTTTGTCTAAAGGTCTGTGTTGGGTGGGTGCTAAACTAAGACACAATTATGTGAGATCAAGTCATTGAGTCAATACAACTGCGCTTTCCCCTCTCTTCTGCCTGGGCCATTTGAGAACAATCAGTCCATGAGACCTTGACTTCTCCCACCACCATTCTTCTGATAGCACTGCCTTGGGAAAGGGAGTGGAGTGAAAAGCTGGTCTTGCTCGAGGGAGATAATGGGGGATCGTGGAGAACAGAGCCCCTCCTCAAACTTGCCCCTTGGGTTCTCTTTGGATCCAGGGAGAAGAGGATCCGCCCAGCAGAACCAGACTCCCAGAGGAGCCATTAACCAGTCCACCCAGATAAATCGCCTCTCTCCTGAGGCGAATCAGGTTGAGACCTACACCTGTCTTCTCCTCTGTGTCTCCCCGGGCACTTGATCGATGGCTTCCTTTCCTTTGCTTCTTTCCAGTCTTAAGTGCCAGGGTTAAAAGAGTGATTATGGCATTGAACCATGAAGGTGGCTGACGAGACCTGTAACGGCAGGCTGTCGAAGTGCCCCCAGAGGGGTCGTTATGCAACAGAGCGACAGAGGAAGAAGGAGTGTCCCTCGCCAAGGGACCAGCCTGTGCAAGGTCCCTGAGGTGGGAGCCAGCCAGCACACTGCCACCCGGGCAAAACCCCCCCACCCCCACCCCCATCGCTGGGCAGAGAGAGTGAGGAGATGCAGAGCGATGTGAGACTGGAAAGGTGGGCTGGAGATGGCTACCAGGGTCTTCTGGCATGTTCCAGAGTGTGTAAGAGTACATAAGTACATAAAAGAATGAGTTATGGTCTTTCAGCAAGCATCCCTTTGTGGAGTAACTGGACGATGCACACAGAGATCACTGTTTAGTCGTACTTACCAGAGGGCTGCAGGGAAGCAGAAAGAGGGAATCATTGTTTCGAAACCCAGAGATGGAGAGGGGTCCTGGGGGCAGTGGGTGATGTATTGGGCTACTAACCATGGAGTCATTACTTCAACCCACAGGCAAATCGTGGGGCACAGTTGTGGCTTTCTATTCCCAGAATAGGCTCTGTGGCAGTGCACTTCGCTGAGAGGTCACTGAGTTCCTGGTTTGAGTGATGGGGAATTTAGCAGTAGTGGCACAGTGGTTACTTACGCGTTGGGCTGCGATCCCCGAGATCAGCAGTTAGAAACCACCAGCTGTGGGAGAAAGACAGCTTTCTACACCCGTAAACAGTCACAGTCTGGGAAACTCACAAAGGCAGTTCTACCCCGTCCTACAGGGTCGCTATGATTCAGCCCCGGCCCGTTGGCAGTGTGTTTTAAGACTGGTGCCACTGACGACGGTGGCATGATGTCACAGATGGAACTGATGTCACAGAATCATACGTGTGAGACACATTGGGATGGTGAATGCTGTGCGATATCTGTTTACCACAAAGAAGCATAGCTTTGATGGGAATCAGCATCGAAGATGGGAGGTAGACGGAGCATAAGGCAGACGAAAAGGTGTGTCAGTGTGGCAGCCCACCCTCCCGCCGCCGCCTTTTTCAAGGCAAGAGAAATTGATTTGAGCATATTTAAATAAGGAGAAGGGATGGATGGATGGATTGTGATAAGAGTTGTATGAGCCCCTATAAAATGATTTGAAATAAATAATGAGAAGGAGTCCGTAGGGAGAGAAGTTGCATATACAGGGGGAAGGAAATGATGGGCAGGTCAAGTTCCCCAAGAAGATGGGAGGAGTTGGGATGCAGACAGAGGAAGAAGATCTGGCCTTAGATTGCAGGAGGCCCACTATCATAAGCTTAGCAGGAGAAAAGATGGGTAGGGACGCAGGTGGATTTATATATGGTAGGAAGTTGAGGGGAGTCCTGTCTGATGGCTTCAATTTTCCCCATAAAACAGAGGCAGCATTATCTGCAGAAGCTGTGGGTGGGAAGGAGTGTTTGTGTCAGAGCAGGCATGTCAGGAGTATGATGGAAAATCGAAACAGATGACGTAGCTGTGTCCCCAAGTTGCTTGAGGCAACCCAGTTTTTCCTACCCGCCCCCCTTTAGCCTCATATGGCAATGGGGTTTATTAATTATGCTAATGGGACTCCATCAGTGTATATATACACACATGGATAGTTTTATAGGCATATCATACAATTTAAAGGTTCAATCACATTAAGAAGAGTTTTGCCATCATTACCACAATCAATTTCAGAACACTTTCTTCTTTCTCGTACTCACTGTTGTTAGCTCCTCCCTATTTCCTCCCCAACCTCCCCTGTTGAGATAGCTGAAGTTCATTGTGCCAACCTGGCCGATAAACATACGTGGGGTTAATTGAAGGGCAGAGAAATAAATGGCTCAGTGAGCCTCGCCTTTCTAGTTCTCAGGTCTTTTGCTTTCTGATGGTCGGACCAGAGGGCAGCTGCCTTGGCCAGTTCCCTGATTCAGCTTGCAAGGCTCACTTCCTGCAAGACATCCCTGAGGAGAAGCAACATGGACCTACCCCGATCGATGCAGCCCTGGGTGCTGGAGCAGCCATGTGGAGACCCCTACCAGTGCTGAGGTGCTTACACATTCACTGATTCAGCTTTCCTCCTGCAGTCGGCATCATTGGGTCTGTTTTGTGAGATAGAGGAGGACTTGTGGATTGGTGTTGGACATATGGGCTAATGTTGGACTTGTGGGCTTGGGCAGCACTGGGTTGGGATGGTTTTTTTTGAGGTTTTCTTGTTTTCTTACCCTGTATAAAACTTGCTCTTATACATATGAGTTTCTGTGGATTTGTTTCTCTAATGAACCCAGACTAACACACCTGTTGTGCCCTGAAGTAATTATTAATCCAGTTACTCTATCTACAGATTTACAATCACAACAAACACAACAAACAAAAAAACAACAACAATGACAAAACAAAACAGAAAAACCTCAATAGAAAAGAAATCAGAAAATATTGAAAAGTGAAACAACTTAGAAATGAGTCAAAAAGGAGATCAAATAAGGTGTTATCTTTTAACTTAACTACACTTGCCATAATCGACTTTACAATGCTCTCTGTCTGGTAGCAAGGCTACTCACATCCCTGGTCTATGGACAGAGGGGATTCTTCTGTGGAGGCTTAATCCGTGTGGGAACCTGCGAATGGATTTTGGGCTTCCACTGTCATCTGTCGCCTTCTGCAAAGTAAGTGTTCAGAATTTAAGTTCTGATACCTTTCCCTCTTCTGGACTTGGAATTTTTTATTTATAATCCTTGGATCACACAGGCGGGTGTGCCTCTTCCAGGTGGACTTAGCTGATGCCTGATTTCAATGACTGCTTGTTTTAAGACAAACCTTTAAGACCCCAGATGCTATGCTTTCTGATAACCTGACACCATCCGATTTCTTCACGTGTTGGTATAGCACCCATATCTTCATTGATCTCTT